TAGTCATATTATATTGAGATAAAAATTGAGATAATAATTTGTTGTATTAGTAGTATATGTATATTATATTTGAGGCTTGGTAGTATTTTGTCAGGTATACTAGATAATTATTTAATACAAATACATATAAATATTTTACGAATATCAAATATGAAACTTAAATAAGTTGAAGTTATAGTCTTTTTTAATTTCTTCAAATGTAATGTTTGCTTATATATTATTTTCATTCAACAAGTACTCAACCGATGAACAAAAAGTAGCATTATATTTTGCGAATCAAAGCAATTATGTAAAAATTTACATCGGGTTAAATTTTTTATAATTGGAATAATATTCTAATATAATATAGACGTATATTATTTTTATTGCAATATTTTGAGTAAAATTCATTTAATTTATGCACACTTGGCACATTAACTCTAATATAATGCAAAAAATTATGAAGAAAACTCTTTCCATTTATAATTGTTTGTTTTGTTTCATTTGTAATTGTAATTGTTTGTAATGCTTTATTTAATGTATAATTAAAATTTATGATGTGTTTATGCATAATAAAATTCTATATTTAAATGGGATATTGAGAAAATTTATGATTTGTTATTTTACAAATCTATCGATTGACTTGTGGATCAAAATAATTGTCACATTCATATTTTGTGCACAGACAACGCCGTCGGCAAGCAAAGAAACAAGAAATAAACAAGCAACCGAGTATTTTTCAATAGCCTTCCCAATAATCTGCAATCGCCTAATAATAACAATACAGTCGGAAAATTAATTAAAAAAACATAAGTGAAGTATTTACCCAAACAAATGGTAATTTCATTAGGTCAAAAGGATTTATAATAATCAATATTATCATTATTATAATAATATTGAATTCACATTTTATATGTAATAATCGTTTGGTATTGTTATTAATGAATAAAAAATGCATCGATAAGCAAATAAAAAGGTATTGGCAAGGTTTTAAAAAAAAAAAAAAAACAAAACAAAAAAAAATCTAAAAGGACAATTGGCAGTATAAAATAACATGAAACGGAAATCAAACAAAAATTAATTAATTACAAATTAACTTGTATTAATCAAATTATAAAATATGTTGAGATTTTCTTTATATTATTTTATGTTGTAAGGGGAATCGTGTGATATATATTATATTATAGCCGTATTCGTGAAATAAAATACAAACTCGTTGGTAATAATGTTTTCATAACAATCAAAATCATTTATATAGAGAAACTTTATTTTAACAATCACATATTATCATCGTTTGAGAAAGTAGCGGAAAATTTAATCACATTTGACATAACTAAGTGTACTAAAACCTGATTTCATATACATTACAAAAATGTACAAGTTTCACTTACATATTACCGGATATATTAATAATAATAACAACAACAACAACAACGACAACGACAACGACAACAACAAAAACAACAACAACAATAATAATAATAATAATTCAGGTCGAATGTATAATGTGCATGCGCATATATTAAATAATATCTTGTATTAAGGAAATGCTTTTTTTTTTTTTTACATAATCATTTGTTTAGCTAAACTTGAAAAATGCATTGGTTTCTTTGCTTTTAAAAATCGTTGAATAAATAATGTCAACTTATAGAAGAAGCATCGAATTACACATCCTATATAAGTTTATAATTAATGCATTAGTAATCTAACGAGATAATGATTATTTCTCTAATTCGAGGAGAATTCGAAAGGAAAAATGACGAATGGAGTTGTTTTGGAAAAGACGAAAGTATCGTCAATCCACTTCCTACTTGCCGCAATGAAACTTGATCATGAAAATGCCCATCTTTAAAAATCTTAAAATTACGTATAGTTCGCCTACACATAATTTGTGCGCCATTACGCAATCGCGAGAGTGTATTTTAAAAATTTATTATATTCCTAGTCTCGTTGAAATCCGGCATAGCACCTGAAATATAATCGAGCGAGCGCGAGTCCCGGGAAAGAAAGCAAACAGTCGAAGCTCCGCGCGGGGCTATACGGCAATAAATACGAATAACAAATAAAACGAGTAACGTTGCAACGACGAGTGGTGTTGGCCGTATCATCTTCATTGAGCATGAGTGAGGACCGAGTCTATGATTACGCGCAAGGAGATAAGGTCGGTCGTGATGTTAATCGTTTAAAAGTCGTATCGCTGTGGGCATGGGTGCTTATCAAATTTTTCTTATTACACAAAGCGTGACGCTTAAAGCTAAATGATCGTGGCATTGCGCAAGGTGGCGATTGGCGGATAGAAAAAAAGAAATAAAAAAATAAAAAAAAGGAAGCACGAGCAGCAACAGCAACAGCAACAGCAGCAGCAGCAGCAGCAGCAGCAGCAGTAGGCCGCTTGCGATACTCGTTACATTCTTATGTCTGTTCGTCGCGTAGGCGCTGCTGCTAATCGACTGGTCAGACACTCGATCTTTTAAAAGCCGCGCGCGTACTAAAGTAGATTGTGCATGCCTCAGTATACACGGCGGACGTTTGGGTGACTTTGTAAAATCAGTCGGGCCCAGCTCTTTCAATAAAAACTTTACATTCTCCAGATCGCACGTGGAGGTCGGCTCGTCGGTGTCGAGGGCGCGAGGGATTTTGAATAACGAGTGTCCACGGTGCTTTTCAACGCCAGTCTTCGTCTTTACCAACTTGAACACACACGTGGAAGCGGGCGAGAGAGTAAGCGAGATAGCGAGAACGCGAGAGTGTGCGCGCCCGCGCCCGCGCGTGTGTGTGTGTGTGTGTGTGAGAGAGAGAGAGAGAGAGAGAGAGAGAGAGAGCCGGAGCAGCCGTAATAATGGCTCTAATGGCTCGATTCGGTCGGCGCTCAAATCTTCCTGGAGCTATGGTTTTCCTGCTGTCGATAGTTTGTGTATCGAATATCGCCGATGCAGCACCAGCGGATAACGATGTGTTGACAGTGCGCATTATTCATACCAATGATATGCATTCGAGGTATCATAATTGTATTGTTTAAATGCTTAAACGAGCCTTTTTTTTATGATTGCGCACACCGTTCGTTTTCCTTCATATCTGCATAGGATTATAGAATTGTCACGATCATTCGTAGTGGATGTGTGCAATTGTTTAGGAAATTAAATGATTTGTTTGGCCAAGGTGGAGAGCGAAGGCCCTTTCGCGCTATTAACTTTGTCCATGTATTATTCTACTTTATTAATAATATATTACAATTAAGAATTGAGTAGTTGCTCGTTAACGCCTTTTCGTCTCGATACAATGAAATATTAAACGTTTACACCGTCAAGCCACGCTTAAGTTGACGCAACAACGAGCAATAATAATTACATAGATTAACAATTTATTATTCATTTTATGAGACTTTATTTGTTCATTAATGAATGTCAGTAATACATAATCAGCATTTGTCATAGTTAAATCCGTTTGCTGCATAATAATATGGAGAAGATGATAAACAATAACAACAACAACAACAACAACAACAACAACAACAAAAATAAAACAAAATAAATAATATAACAAAATCGTTATTTTTAAAGTAATGGCTTACATTATTAGGCACATTTCAATATTTCAATATTAAAATATACTCATATTTCAATAACATATTTTCTCTTTTATAATATTATACTCATGGCAATAATAAAAATCATCATGTACTTGTGAATATGTAAAAAAAATCATAATCTACTTTGAACTAATATATAAATAATATAATATAAAAACAAGAAAATGTAAAGCTGTAATTATGAGTATTTTAAATGAAGTAACCAATGAAATGTATTTCAAATAGTATAATTAATTTTAATACAACAAAGAGTACTCATACATGAATAAATGCGCGAATAGCGTTTGTTTTATAATTACTTAATTTCTTCTTCTCGCGCTGTTGAGCATGTCATGTTTCTCAACAACATATTCATTTTGAAGGTTTTGGATATTTACTGTAATCTCTCTCTCTCTCTCTCTCTCTCTCTCTCTCTCTCTCTCTAACATGCCGTACGTAGATATTTCATTTTCTACGGATTTGTCTTATTGAATGACACCGATTAACGATTTGTAACTTTAACCAGTTTAAGGCAATATTACGTCTCTTTATTTTTCCAAGCCATATAACCACAACGAACGTATATCTTCATTTTTATGTTTGTTAAGTTTCATGCGGTAAAACTTATTATATCCTAAAATTTTATTTACCGCTGTTGTTGTTGGTACATGTATATATTAGACAGCAGTAACAATTAATCAGTTATTGATAGCACGTATACGCTTTACCTCCAACCTAATGGGAATCTTTCTAGAATTTTATTTTTATCTCAACTAGAAAAATACTTCTCTTACTCCTCTTATATGCAATATACGGTGCACGTATACATATAATTTTCATGTGCATTTTTTAGTGTACGTGTATATCGATGCTAATAATTAATAGGATAGTGGAATATTTTTTCTTAATGGATATTATAATTTAAATAATAATTATTTCATGGAATTTTATTAAGAATGAATATATATTCATTAGGAAATGCATAAGGAAATTTATATGTATTTAGAGAGTCTGCATAATAATTTATGATATATATATATATATATATATATATATATATATGAAGAAAGACTTTTAATGAACGCTTTATCGTTACTAATACTGACGTTAAAAGAAATTCTATTCAGTTTTCCAATGCCACGATAATGTTAATGGTTAGTTTCTAATTTCGATTAATTTTAGTCTGATTTCGAAACGGTACAATCACCTCAAAATATTCAGAAACGTGATATTTTTACAAATATATGTACAGTATAATAGAAATTCTTTTATATACAGATAACGAACTACGTATTAAAAAAAATAATAATAAAATAAAATAAAAAAATAAAAAAAAAATAAAGGTATAGGAAAAATTACTATACTAACTAGTAGCGTGTAATATTAATGTTCATGAAGATTTTTTAATTTCTTATCATCGTATTTAAGTAGATTAATCAGATTCACAATAGAAATTAACTTTTATTCTTTTAATTAAAATATTTTAATAATCGTGTAAAATTAGGAAACATTTATTTTTATGTTAAAGAAATATTTTAATACGATACTAATGAAAACTGTCAAACACAATTCAAAAAAATTTCCAGCATGTTTTACTTTATATATTTTTCATGTATATACATACAATCATATATAAGCATAAATACACGATATTTTTATTCTATTTACTCTGTTTAATATATTTTTTAGATTTCTAGTGACTGTACAAATGTATTATGTATATATAGTATATTATTTATCATAGTGCAAATATAAATTCAAACCACTTGAAAATATAGATTTAATACAGGAATAGACATTTGAATGATATTAAGTTCATAACATAGTATAATTCGACTTGATTTTTTTTAATTGTATACATATAAAAAAACCACTTTACATCATATAACTATAAATTTTATAGAAAAATATAATATTAAAGTCAAAAGCGAATAATAATTAAGAATGGATAATATGTTAAATATATATATATATATATATATATATATAGGCAAATCAATTCGATAAAGACAATATATAAATTAATAACAACACTTTTACGTAGAAATTGTTTATTGTCTTACTAAATTAATAAAGTTTCTATGAATTATTACGCTCCTGCATATTTTGAATTACATAAATTGTATTCTAATAATGCTGAGCTTAAAAATTATTCTTATTAAATATTGTTATAGATATTTCTCTGCTAATAAGAAGATTAATTTTAAATTTGTATCCATTTATAGTATTTTCTAAATATAATATTAATTTCTAGTGGTGAAATATATATATATATATATATATATATATATATATATATAGAATTTTTAATTATCTTAAATGATAAGACTATATATTAAATAATAAGTTAATTCCTTTTTAATTATTCTTATCAATGTTTAATTAATTGCGATTAATACACGAATATAAATGGTAAAATTAATGAAAAAAAAAAAAAAAGAAAAAAAAAATATGTTTTAAATATAGTGGTTTTTATTATTTTTATTTTTGATATTGACGTGTATGGTAATATATTTATAATTCGAATCATTTCTAATATGCAACATGAATGCTTGATATGAAGCTAAATAAAATGACTATTATATTTTAATAATTTAAATTTAAACAATTATTTTTGTAATCGTGATACTGTAAGTACACTTAACTAGTTATTCTGTACTACAAATGCATTATCAAATGTTATCATCGAAGGAGTCAATAGTGTCATACAGGTTTGTTTAGCTTATTTTAACACAAACACTCTAATTCACATTTTATGATTCATTAGCCTCGTTCACTTTCTACACAAATATATAAATACGTATTTTGAAAAGTTTATTGCTTATGTTAGCTCATCATTAAACTTCATGAATATATATATTTGGCAAATAATAATTAGTAAAAATAATATCATCAAATAGAAGTGAAAATCAAATTTATCAACTAAAAATATTATATTTTATTATTACAATTTAAGAGTGTATAATAATATATTTTAACTTATTCGAGATATTATTCTTTTACGAATAAATTGATACTTATAAGTGATTATATGCAACAAACCTCTTAATTAAAATAATACCAAAAATAATTGAATTACTAATTTCAATAATTATACGAATATAATTGATTAATAATAATAACAGACGATATTATGTTCAAATTAAAAACATTGTATGAATAATAGTGCAGAAAAATAGTATCCCGGCCTCGAGCATGGACATACTTAACAATAAAAGACACTACATTAACAAACAATTCAATAATTCATAAGAATCTTTGAATATTATCATACTAATATTTTGATTATTTCACATACTAAATATAATTTCATCTTCCAAAATTAATAATAAGGCAATAATTATATAATAAAGTAGATAGACTATTTTTATTCTTATTTATTAATTTTAAATATAATATTTTATAAATATATAATATATATTTATCAATGATTTTTCCAAATTTTGAAATATCCTAGAATAAATAATTATTGTATGGATACAAATTTTAATTTAAAGTATTTCAGAATACAAATCCTACAGTATAATTTAAATTATGTGTAAATAGATAAATTGTTCATGCATTTTTATATTTACCTCATAATAATTTATTGCGATAATTTTCTTTATTTATCAATGTACTTAAACAAGCAATTAAGTCTTTACTTTAAATAACATTCTTAAATATTGTTAAACAATATTTGAATTTAAATATACATTAATGACTTGCCAATCTTGCAGCTTTCAATTTTATAATCAGTATAAGGTGTAATTTTATTATTTATATCTACATATTTATTATCAAGTCCAACAAATCATGAAACAGTATTTATAAACAATGAAAATTAAATCTCAGTATACATAAGAATATTACAAACATTTAATTATTTAATTTTTATTTTTTATTTATCTTTATACATATGATTCATTAAAGCTACAAGATTTTGTTCCATACCCCGCAGAACATCTATGTAACACATTGTCTTAATTTATCTAAATCATTGCCGTGCCTCTTTTCTCCATTCTCATAGATAAAGTTTATATCTTAAACAATAAAATTATTACACAGATAATAGATAGTTGAAAATGAAATCAGAAGAATGTAGCGTATAGTAAGTTTGTTTGAATAAAATTTTCTTTAGTCATCTTGACTAATATTTAAAAAATGATCTGTATAAATGTTCTCTATGTACGTTTGTAAATTGAGCAATTTTTTCTTCATTACTATACCAAAGTGCAGCTGTAATACTATAGTAATAAATAGAGTAACAAATATGTATTTCAATTATCTATTTTTATATAAAACTTATATTGTGACTTTATTTGGTCAAATTTATCTGGTTAGTTTATGTATTTGTTATCTTTTCTGGCACAGTTATTTCGAAATGACATTTTTTTAATGGCTCGTGATTAGTTTAACTGATTTCACATAAAACAACTTCACGTTGAACCATCATACTAACAAAAATTTGTCAACATTCAATCAAACACATTTTTATATTATATTCGATAAAAATGAGCAAGTACTACTCAGAATTGTAATGTGGTTTTTTTTCTCTTTTTTTTTTCTCTAAGATTACTTATCTCGTCACGTAAATTTAATATTGAATAACACATTTTGTTAAAATGTACATTATGTTTATAATATAAAATACAGTTGCACAGCTCGACTATTTCTATATGAATAATCATGTATAATTTTAAACGGTATAGAAGAAAGAAATTCTCGTTTGGCATTTGAATTATCTATTATAATAAAGAATATTTGTTATACATTGGCAGAATTAAAGAAACGATAATAAATTAATCAAAATTCACAAGAAAGTTAGTTTAGGAATAACACTACATTAAGATTATTACTGTAAATTAAATTATTACTTAATTACTCTATGATTTGAATATAAGGTCTTAATAAAATTAATATAATCCTTTAAATACTAGCTTGGTAATTCATTTAAATTAAGTAAAACATTATTAGATAGTATTTATGCTAATTGTTCTTATATTTAATAATACACAGTTTATAAAATAATCTAATTTCATTGTACAACTGCATTTTATATTAGAATTCATATTTAATTTTTATTGACAATTTAAAATTAAAACTAAATCTTAAATACTCTAATATTGTTTTAAGTTACACTCTAATGAGAATGTAATATAATTAAAAGAAATTAAGACATAATTTTATTTATTCACTTAGATTTGAAGAAACGTCACAGTTTTCTGGGATTTGTAATGATAAAAGTCGAGAAGGGAATAAATGTTACGGCGGTTTCGCCAGATTAGCGACGCTTGTTAGAAAGGCAAGAGGTTCAGCTACCGACAACCTACCAACATTCTTCTTAAACGCCGGTGATACTTACCAAGGCACCAAACTTTTCAGGTACTACAAGTGGAAGATCGTTGCCAAGTTTCTAAATATTCTCAATCCAGATGTCGCGGTAGGTACACAATGAAATATTAATACGGCGTTATTTATTGTCTAACACTAAAATAGCGAAGAAAATGTATCCGCGTCGGAAATGAATAGATAAAACGACCAGGAACATTGAATAACAAAGAGATTCAATTACTTTGTGAATATTTAAATTTAAAAGGTCACTTAATAGTTTAGGTCGTATTATTATGCTTGCTAATTCAATAGTAAAGCAGTAAGAGAATCATTCATGAATTATTTCAAATTCAAATAATTTTATATAATTAATGTGTTATTAATTGCTATTAAGAGTCGCAGGTCCTATATTAACTTTACATAGTTAATCGTACATTTTATTTTTAATTTATATAGATATTATAGTAAATAACGTAGCCACTATTTTTATGAATATTTAACATTATTGTTGGATCTTTATAATTAAAATACAAATTAAACTTTTAAGTTATAAATTATATTTAGATTAGCGGCATTTACATTTTACATTTGAAGAATATGAATTTTTCAACACTTCATTATTTTTATAAATTCAGTTTACATTGCATACAATACCAAAGGAATTGCGATCGCTTTTGATTCAATGTCACATATTGCGAGTGAAACTTGAGAAATAGTTTAATAATATTTTACTTTATCTCTGACCTCAAAATGATAAATAATTTAATCAATATAAATACTATATAAATTGCAACTTATTTGCAACAAAAAATTTTCTCTCTAATATCCGAGTTCGTCATTACCATTAAATTAGTAATTTCGTAAAAAAGAAAGAAAAGACAAAAAAAAAAAAAAAAAAAAAAAAAAAAAAAAAAAAAAAAGAAGAAGAAGAAAAAAAGACAAGAAAAAGAAAAAGAAAGAAAAAAGAAATATGAAAGATAATGGTGGATAAAAAATTAATATAATATTTAATATTGAAATGATGGTTCATCATTTTCTTACTGATTAATTTTGAAATTTATTACTACTGGTCGAATCCTTTTGTTATCGTACATAATATTGTTTTGCACTTCACAGAGCTTAGGCAACCATGAATTTGACAATGGAATTCAAGGTCTTATTCCATTTCTAAATAACGTTAGTTTCCCGGTCGTTGCTGCGAATTTGGATTTGTCCGCCGAACCGACCCTGGAACAAACAAAGCAATTGAAAAAGTCGACGATTCTTCAAGCGAAAAACAAGAAAATTGGAGTTGTCGGATATGTAACTCCCGATACTAAAGTTCTCTCTCGGCCGGAGAAGGTAGTATTCCTCGATGAGGTTGAATCTGTGAAAAAAGAGGCCAAATACCTCAAATCTCAAGGCTGTGATATTATCATAGCTTTAGGACATTCGGGATATGAGGCAGATATGAAAATTGGCCGGGGAGTGGATGAAGTCGATCTTGTTATTGGTGGGCATACAAATACCTTTTTGTACAATGGGCACGAGCCTGACTCGGAGAAGCCCGAAGGTTTATATCCGACCGTGGTGGTTCAACCAAGTGGGAAAAAAGTTTACATTGTACAAGCTTATGCGTATACGAAGTATTTGGGTGATCTTAGCATAGATTTCAATCGTCAAGGTGATATTATTAGAATCGAAGGCAATCCTATCTTAGTGGATAGTAGTGTACCTATGGCAGAAGATGTCGTTGAAGAGCTAAAACTTTGGACGGAACCCCTAGTTAACACAACTACGAGAGTCGTAGGCACTACCAATGTATTGTTACAGGGGGATGACAAAGTCTGCAGGCTGGAGGAGTGTAATTTTGGAAATTTGCTGACCGATGCTATAATATATCATGTAAGGCAACGATTCATTCTTAATTCTTAATATACGTTTACATTTTATATCAGTGTATTTATTAAAATTAAATAACCGAAAGACTTTATCTTTATTCACTTTTCTAAAATATTGATTGCTTATCAATTGACTATTATTAACTGCAATTCGACAACTATCGATGATAATGATTATGTAATCGAATATTTCATACATTAAAATTGCACGTAATTGGTAAGTAGGTTGAAGGTCATATAGAATTAAACAAAATTTTTATATTACATTTATTATTATAAAATGTATAATGCTATTTCTTATAACATTGTTTGACACTTTCTATTATCTATTATCTATGTTCAATTATCTGTATGATATTAATACGTTTGTAATATTGACATTAAATACTGCTCCAGTATTACCAATTTTTATTAATAATTATTATCGATAAATAATATCGACATTTTTGCCTTTTGCTAAGTTTCTTCTTATATTATAATAATTTTACTACATTTCACTTCCAATAAAATGTATTTGTAAACTAATTCCTCGTGTTTGTCCATAAGTAAACTAATAAATCACATTCCACGCATTATTATCTGTCATTAAAATATTTTAAGTTTATTTGCAGTACTTTTCACTGGGCCATTAACGCAAAACAAAAAAAAAAAAAAAAAACAACAACAACAACAACAACAAAAACATTACATGCTTATAATTTGTATAATCTTATAATTGTTATTCAATTTAATCGTCATAATTAATACGACTAATTTAGATATGATGAAATATACGAGTATTTTTTAATACTTTTTCCCCGATAAGATGATTAATTGCTTAATACTTCTTTCATCATAAAAACTCGTTATATTATAATCGTCAACAATTAATTACAAGTTATGCTATTTACGATTAGTATTACGAACATCTAGGAAAATCTTATAAGAAATATTCGCTATGCATTTATTTTTACGTAATCATAATATATTTTTTATGATACTTCTTCCACCAATAAGAAAAGACATATTTTTAGGATAATTTTATATAAATATATTCAGCTTAAGCAATTCTTATGACATAAAGGACTGCAATACTTATTGCAAACTTTTCGATTAAATTATTTCTTATGGAGATATTTGCTTTCAAACATATTTTGCAATTTAGAAAAATAAAATTATTTGTTACTTATACTTAACTATGAAAATTTATTTGACATAAAAATTATCTTTACAATGACTGATCGCTCACAATTATTAATACAAAAAGTGTTTATTATATTTACAAATAATATATTAATATATTATATATTTACAAATTTGGAATTTGTTTGAATGCAAATGGCATTTAAACGAACCTAATGTGATCATTATCATTTATAAAATTGAAACTGCTGTAAAATTATTTTACAATTTGTAAAAGTTCAAATCAATAATTTTGATTCCAGTTCAGCCGTGGTGATAAATAAAAATTGTAATACATTAAATCATTAAAGTATAAATACTTCATTGTAACAATTTATCATATTAGAACAATTCCCTTTCAAGTTTCTATTTTTATTTAATCTATATTTCAAAATCATTTCATTTCTATTTGCATAAACATCGAGTGATCAAGTATCTTAAATGTTAGATTTATTTAAAACCGAATATGTATATATATATATATATGTGTGTGTGTGTGTGTGTGTGTGTGTGTGTGTATTATATTTTTTTATCCATAAAATATTTACTTTTGGATCACTTTAAATGTATTTGCATTCTTTTTTCCGTTTTCATTAAATTTGCCTTATGAATCATTATTTATTCACGTACGCGATTATTTTTATCAACATTGACTTATGATTGAAAAAAAAAAAAAAAAAAAAAAAAAAAAAAAAAAAAAAAATAAAAGGAAAAAAAATTTAAAGCTCAAAAATTAATATAATTAAACCTTTACAGATTTTATATTGAAAATTATATTACTAGAAATGTCGAATATGCATTGTTGTCGAAATGATTACTCACTACACTACATTACTTACTGCAATACGGATGTTATTAAACATTTAAAATAATTTTTCTTATATTTTTTTCTTCTTTTAACGCATAGACGATTATACAACAGAGGATAGCAATTACCACATTCTCCAACATACAGTTTGTATTTGAAAGCTTATTATTGTTGAAACAGTTTCTTATGCATAGACAATAAATGCATCTACACAACATTAGGGATTGTTCGTTTCACTTAACACTTCGATCATTTTACAAATGTCATTAAGTTTCATATCGAATAAACCTCTAACATACCTGTAGTTTATTCCAATAATTAATGGAATACTATATTCTATTCGTACGACAATATATAATTTTCATTACTTTCCTCGTTAAAATAAATTTGCTTTAAAAGCATTGGCCACAGTTAAATAAAACGTATAAAATTGGTTTAAAAACGCAATACCATTATTAGTAAAATATTTAAAATTATAAAATATAATAATACTAATAATATATTGTGTTCGTAAAATGTAGTATATGTATATATATGTATATTTATCATTTGAATTTTTCATATATTATATCAATATATTTCATATATTGATAATTAAAAGAACGCCAAGCAGTTCACCGATAGGAATGGATGGACCGATGCTGGAATTGCTATTTATCAAGCTGGTGGCATCCGATCTTCGATAGATACTATAAACAGTGGCAAGGTATTAATTATTGCATGAATTAATTTCTATATAATTGCGATAAACACTATTTAGTCATTGGTAATGTATTTCCTATTGTTCATATATCCATTAGATCACAATTTTATTAATATCATATTTGAAGGTTTTAATTTGAAATATGTGTATATATATATATATATATATATAGGAGGGAAGGAAAAGTTATGATACTTAAACTAAAAAACATATAAATTGTATATTATTTACATTTTTGTGAACTTAATATAGATATGTATGCAATTTATTGTTATCGCAAAAATTTATTACAATTATCTATATACAAGTAGTAGTCTATATTCAAGTAGTACTATACAAGTATTATCAATTACAAGTAATTACAGTCGTAAAATTGTTCAAAATAGCAGTTCTTCGCGTCAGCCTTTGTTAATCTTATGATATTATAAATAATTTTCAGGTGACGCTCGATGATGTAATGACAGCATTTCCTTTTGGAACGAAAATTTATAAAGTTCATGTCAATTCAAAAACTTTAATGCAAGTGCTCGAATGGTCTGTCCACGATAGAATCAATCAAAATACAACGAGCCATGGGGGTGGCTTCCTCCAATTCTCTGGAATTCATGTATATTTATCATTTATATTCAATTATTCATACATAGTTAGCTCTAATAAGTTATTGCTAAAAACATTCTCTGCTCAATGCATATTGATTTGATACGTAGTATGCGAAACTCTATTGTTCTGTCACAATAATCATTTAGGCAATGAAACATTACATCACAATCGCACAATAACAATATGATGCAAACAGTATAATTATTAATATAATTAAATATTAATTATTAATACGTAAATGTGTTTTAAATTAGTAGCAAAATAGTTTTACTCACAAAGAATTTTATTACCTAAAATAAAAACCGATAAAAGTAAAGTATAAATAATCCCACTTTAAACATAAAACAAACATAATATTATAAAATTTATATTCGTTAAGATCATTTTTTAAACTATTTCAATTCGGAAAGATGCAACCGCAATTTATAGGTGACTAAATTGGAGAAATTAGGAAATTTACTTTAAAAGCATTTCATTATTGAAAAAATAAATATGACTTGGATGAAAAAAAAAAAAAGTGTTACAATGAAGCGAACAAATATATGCAATAAAAATTAATCATAAATGTGATAAAACAATATTAATTATTGTATGTATACGTAATGCACATTACGTTAAGATCAAGTTTAATTATAATTTATTTATAAAGTTTTAAATACTGTTGTACTTCAATTGTACTGATTTATATTATAGTACCAGTAGAAAAATAATCAAAATAATTCTCATAAATAATACTATTATGTTAAATGCAACTAACAGGTACGTTAAAAATTTTTGACAATAATTTATGCTTTTTATGTTATTATAATGTAATGTACATATTTTTAATATTTATATATTTTATGTTTAATTAAAGTTTTAAAGTAGTCTAATGTCAATTAACATGATCATCACAACAATTGATTCATAAATATTTGTGTTCTATTTATCAGATAATATACAACTTTATAATTATATCAATAGAATTTAATAACAATAATTATTATTACATTAATTTTAAGTGAGTTAAAAAAAATTTTATATTGAAATGACTTACAATAAATAGTAATAAATTTCGATCTAAGAATATTATGAAATAATAAATTCAGCTCATAGGAGATATCAATATAAAACATCTACACAATTTACAATTTACAATTTACAATATACAATTTGTAATTTACAAATAACAATTTACACTCGATATAGTGTAAAAATTTGGATAATTAATATTAATATTTTTTACATAAACAGAATTTTTTACACAATAGAATATCGCGTTAGGAATTATTTCGTTTATTACATTAGATAAAAATCAATATTGCAATTTTTTTTTCTTTGCAATTTTTATTGTCAAATACATAAATTGCTTGTAAATATTTTATTTTTTTTACAAATAAAAATACACAGAAGTATACTTCAATACCGTCAATTTAAAGAATTTTATCAATGAAAAGGAAATATTACAGTGATACGTACTCTTGCAGATATATATTCAAAATTTATATATTCAAGATATATTCAATTTATATATTGCAGATATATATTCAAATATTCAAATCGAATAACTTTTTAACCACTTTATTGTTTCTTTGCACTTTAAATGTTTTCAGTTTTTAATCATAACTTTCAGCGTATTAAATTTATATCTTAATGACTTGTTTGTTTCGAGTTTTAATGTTTTCAGTTTTAATTATAAGTTTCAGCGCTTTAAATGTAGATCTTAATGACCTGAAATAATGTAAATGAATAATTCATTAGATATTAATATTATTGGACCATAGAATTTTTGAAAAATTAAATTCATAAATATCTTTATTTATAGATATAAGAACGTTTTATACACTTGGATTTTTCATGGATTTTTCAAAATTTTAACATATAGCTTGAATATAATTAATTACACACCCATGTAACATAAAAAACATAAATAACACTAATGTTAAATGGTATATTTAAATTATAAACTTAAAGTTATATATTTGAAAATAAATAGTCTTGCAATGTATGTTCTAATATAAATTATATTGCTTTATATTTTACAACGTACATTAAATATTTAACAATATATGCTGTTATGACGTGAAAGTATGCGTTTAACATATCATCTTTATCGTTCGTTTTAGCTTTATGTTTCTTTGAAAATTTCAATTCACTGATAATGTCATTATAAAAATCTATGTTCTATTAATATTTATAAAAATTCGAAAATTAAATTAAGTCCTCACTCAAGTGCTTCTGAATACTTATGTCGAAATATCTTAATACGTTAACGAAAAGCGATAAGACAGTATTAGCTATAAAATTTTTTACCATATAATCCCATTATGATATACTATAACTATTTTACCTCATCTCTATGAATTTTAGATCACTTACGACATCTCCAAGCCATTCAATTCCCGAGTCGTGTCGCTTAAGCTTCGATGCAGTTTGTGCATTATACCAAGTTATGAGGACTTTAACGCGAACAAAACTTATACCATTTTAATGCCCGACTTCATGTACCACGGTGGCGACGGCTTCGTTATGTTGCAAAATCAACCATACACGAATTTGAGTGAGTATCATAGTACTTTATAATTCGCAAACCCATTTACTAATATTAATATAGGATTCAATCGATAGTAAATTATTCATAGCAGAACTTGGATAGGGAAATATATAACTTTTCTTTTTTTTTTTTTTTTTTTTTGCTACAAAGTTTAAGGATACTTTTGATAGATTATTTTAAAGAAAATTTATCCTAGTTCCTTAGTCAATATTAATTCGCAAATAAATATTCATTGCGATTATCCTGTCATCATTTCGATTCATAACTATCCAAATATTCCTATTAATATGTTTTGCAACTCTTTTTTCCTTTCTGCATTGTAAATGTTTCAATTTCAATTGTTTTTAATTTAATTATTCGCTCATTATCAATGTATTATTATCTTTTCTTTTTAATATCACTTACACTTAAGTCACATGTATCCTATAATATTGTATTCTAGATTCCCTTGTAAAATTAGCTTAATTAAGATAATGACAAATTTTCTATTAATATATTTCTCATAAATAGATAAAAAATCGTCGAAATATAAAGTAAATACAGGAATTTTTAGAATTTAAGAAAATTTACAAAATATATTTATCTCTCACAATTTTTCCTTTATTAATCGCATAATCTTCTTTCAGACTCTACAGTTGCAGATATAATCGTTGACTACATTAATCGAACAAGTCCTGTGTATGCTAATGTCGAAGGTAGGATTCAATTCGTAATAAATGAGGACAAATCCAGTGGAATTAATTCTGGAGAAGCATCAACAAATTCAGCTGCAAGTTTTATCTATCAAATTCCAATACTATCAAGCTGCTTTGCTCTCATGCGTTTTCTTTAATCTATTTGTGATTGTCAATACTTAATTTCTAATGTAAGTTGTACGTATGTGTATGAATGATAATTTTTCATCCATTTTTTACTGTATTTTAAAACATGAGCCGAAGAAAAAACGTATATCCTAAAAAATCTACAGAAACAGTGATGTACTTATATTTAAATCCCGTATATAAATTTAAATTTAATCAAGGACACAAAAAATATGTTATAAGCAAAACGTTATATGTACATTATAACATCAGGATAATTATTACATTACACTTATTGTGAAAATTAATATTCAAGAATATTGACTATACACCGTAAGAAAATAATTTGACACGAATTATTATTTTTAACTATTCGAACGTACAATTAACTAATGGTAATTTTATTATTACATAATTTTAAAATAATCCAAATGTAATAAAATGTTAACATTTCGTTTTTTGATATAAAATATCACATTGAAAATAATATAATAGTACTGTTATATTACAACGAGAGATAAATATTGCAAATGTAATATTATTGAGAATATTCATGAAAAATTTAATTAATCAAAACTTACATTTATTTTATGTCGAATAATTTATTTTACATTCTTCAGAATTTTCTTTCCTTTAAACGTGTAACTATTTCCATTTTTACTAGAAAAATTTTATAAGAATATATAAGTAAGGTTGTAGCGAATATATTTTTGAATTTATTAAAATGAATTTCAACGTATAAAACTCTTAAACCTTATATTTTGTATTATTTGATAAAATTATTGATAAATTGATTGTATTGGAATTTTTTAAAGCTGATTTTATAAAATTTAACATCTTGAATGTAGATTTTGAGAATAAAAAAAAAATAATATAAATAATGCAAGAAAAATAAGAATAATTCATTTATTTTAAACAATATATTAATACAAATTTCATTGAAGTTAGAAACAAATATTCACATTTTCAAAGATAGAACATAATCAAAAGATATTTATAATAAATTAACATAAGAAATAGATCTATTTGTTCATGACAGAATGTTTGATATTTTATTATTAAATTATATGTTTTGTATATCTAAATTTAAAAATATAATATAAAAGAATTATTCGTATAATACGCTAATTAAATAATACACAATGAGATAATTTATTAATGACAATAATGTACTACTTAATAAGTGTATTTAAATCGTAAATAATCGACGTCATATATATAAAAAAATTATCCTCCATCCCTATATTTTATTTACTTAATTATACAGATTAATATAAAGATTTGTTCATTTCATTGTTAAAATAAATTATGTATTTCTATATAAATTATTAAGAGTTTTTTTTTTGTTTTTTTTTTTGTTTTGTTATAAGACTACATATTATGAGCATTAATGTTACTTAAAACTTATCTTATTTTATTTGTTAAGTGTAAATTTTAAATATAATTTTTATAATAATCATAAATCATATAATTTTCATGCAATTGACCAAGATTGATTTGAACTTAAATCGCTATTGTCTTTAAATTTTTGGAATTTCTGAAATTCCTATAAGAACTGAAAATTTTAAATAATTTTTAAAACTTATTAATAATACAAATGGTGAATTTAAAAATAATTGTTTATTAATAAATTACTATAAAAAATATTCTCATTATTTATAATACAGACATACGTTTAAAAATAAACAAATCAACTTGTAAGGTTAAATAAAACTAAATGAGAAAATTGTAGTAATTAATTGTATTAACTAGATTTATATGCAAATAGAATTCAAAACAATAAAATAAACTAAAAGAGTAAAACTACGAATGAAAATTTGATATTTATTATATTATGTATTCAAGCTGGACTGTATGGAATTATGTATTGACGAAATATTGTGTTGGATGAGTTAAATGTTTTTGAGATTCTTTACGTACGTATAATATTTTCTCATTTTATAAACATTATATATGAATATCTATAATTTTAGAGATTAATTGTTGATGTTGCGAGAAATATGTGATAATGCACTATTGCTGTTTCATTTTAGAGATGCGAGTGATTTGCTACCGTAAATCTCTAACGTAAATCAATAAAATTTATTAATAAATTACGAATCCGGAAAAACATTTATTCTAAATCCTCAAAAAATTTGAGTTTAGATATTTAGTATTTAATGTTGAATTAGTTTATTATCAATAAATCTCTCTCTCTCTCTCTCTCTCTCTCTCTGTATGTCTCTCTCTCTATTTATCTATATCAGTGAAATCGACATAAGCTTGCCATTAATTTTAGATTAGATTAACTCTAGTTTATTTTATAGTAGAAGATTTAAAAATTGGTAGACTTGCGCACTTTGTATTTTGATTGTTCATTGTCATAGGAACCCTACAGACAATTTCTAAACAATGATGTTAGAATAGTCAATAATATTATGAGTATTGTTTAAAAAGACGTTCTTAGTAATGAATTTGAATTAGTAATTGATAAATTATTTTTAAAACGATATATATATATATATATATATATATATATATATATATATAGAAGCATTATAGTTAATTAAAAATTAAAGTATAATCCAAAGTGGCGATAACTCGAAGAAATGTCTTACGCAACACCGATACTTTATCTCAACATGGGAGGAGAAATGCTGTATGTTTTACAGCAAAGGCTAAATACTCAAAGAATCAGTCTTGATAAAACAATTCAAGGCTAGTTATATTTATCATATATATGAGTAAAATCATCAGTATCTTTTAATTATAAATTTCCTGCATATGTATACACATAAAACCATGAAAATTATATTTTGCATACATATATGTATATATAATATATAATTTGCATGGAATTAATTAGAATTTATTTAATTATTTTAAAATAATATCTCATTAGCTTCGATAGTTATAATAAAAATTTTTCTTAATAATTAAGAGTATTCAAATGTAATACTTGAATTCAATAATTTATCAACGACATTTACTTTTAAATTTTGTAATAAAATTACATAACTCTTAATGTTTTCTTTAATTAATTGAATAATATGAATGATTAGATTATTGAGATCTTTTAGAATTGTGTAATTATCATTAGGTTGCTTAATACTATATTTTATACCAAATTGATTTTTAATTGGAAAAAACATCTATTAAGCTAATAACTTAGGATATTTTGAGGTTTTTATTATTGTAATTGTTTTGTTTTTATAATAGTTTTCGAAATAAATATAATTAATTTTTCATTCATTTGATAGATGTCTTTTCTCGTCCACCAATATTTTTTATAATAATCAATAAGTTAAATTTGTAAGATAAGCTTGTAATTGAAAATCATCTTTTCTATTATACAATTTTGATGATATATAATAATATTTACTTTTACAATAGTTAATTAATTATACCGAGAAAATCGAATATTGTTTACAAAAATTTAAAAAATTTTGACTTAATAATTTATAATTTTTCTTTTTTTGTAAAATCGTGTAGGAATAAGGTATTTTACTATATTGTTTGTGCAAAGATGTATGTATTTACGTTTGATTTCCTATATATTTAAATAGAAAAAAAAAAAATATATAAAAAAATATATGTATATGTTTTTTTTTTTAACTTAACTATAATTATGTAATTAAAATATTAAATTCACATAATAATATGAGATAGTTGGATGCATAAAACCTTAATTAATTGCATGTCGAATCGTACTATTGAATAGAAATGAAGTAACTATTTTAATCTCGAGTCGATATATTATTTTTAACGATAATTTAAATATGCGCTTTTTTTATTGACAATAAACGTTCGTTTTCATAGTAATGAACGAGGTAATACGTGCCTTCCTAAACCAAAAACAGCTTCGATCAATCTTCGACAAAAGTTTGCAAATGCATCTGTATTCCCTTCGAACGATCCTCGAACAAGTTGTTCTTTCGTCAATAATGAAACTCGACTCCAACAGCATGAATAAACTTTTTGACCTAATGATAACAATGGTAAAGTACCAACTGGACACAGCCACTGGACCACGCGAAGTAATCTTATTAACTTTGAATCACTTAGATGGAGTGCGCGATATGGTTGTTGACAAAACACTGCACGTGCATATCGATCTTGCATATCAATTGATTCTTAGTGTAAGTTTGTCACTCTTGGCTTTAGTTATTATAGTTATTATATAAATAAGTATAAATAAATATTGTATAAAGAATCAGATAGATTGTATTTATATTAAAAAATCTTTTCTGAAATTAAGTATTCAGGCAAAAATATTTGAATTATAAAATGACATCGAATTGTCATTAATTTGAATGCAATTTTGGTTTTTAAAATATATTGGAATTTAGCATGGCCACTTGGATAAGGCACAATAGAATAAATCGAAATGACTTATTGATAGTATAAAATTTCTTATCTATTTTTTTCTTATTTATTTAGTTTCTTATTCACAATAATTTATATAATAGATATTAAAAAGAAAAGAAAAAACAAATATCTATATAATTGATTATAAATATCGATGAATATTTATTACATGTGCTTTTTTACCTATTCTTATAGTAAATAAAATACTTTTAAGAGTAAATATTTACTTGAAAAATGTCTAAATTTTTATTTTTAAAGACTTTTGGCAATATGAGCTATAAAGAGATATGGCAAGTAAGGAACGATTGCCTTGGAGTATTTGATGATTGTAATACACGAGTCTCGTTACTTTTGAAACTGGAATTGCAAAATCAAGATGGGACATTCAACCGAATGATTCAAAAGTACAATGAACAGTATATGGAGCAGCAGGAGATTCTTGAGGATATTCGATTACTAGCCGATAAGAGTTCAATGGGATCATTATTGTTGATTGGTAGTCGAGTCACTTTATTGGGTAAAAATTTGTAAGTCCAGTAATTTAATAGCTAAGATTTTCAATACATGATAGATTTTAGAAAAATTCATAGAAGCTATCGAAATAAATTTAAAAATGATGAAATTATTGCTAAATATGTAGCTTAGAAGGAGCAACAAAATCTATATAATTGGCAAACAATTAATTACTCGATCAATTATATTAATATTACATTGATAAAACTATACGACAGATAAGAAAAATTAATGATATTATATTGAGATAGGAGCTTCCATCGCTTACTTAATTGTCTAATTTTTAGATATTCGAGTACCTTTGGGCAAATACACAGCGACAGTTCTACTCAAAATTCGCACAAAGCTGTAACGATCACCAATAAGGCTTTAAAAAAAGAGATTGAAACTCTTGCTATTCAATTGGGTAAAGAAGAGACGATTTCCCATAGGCCCATAAGCTTGCACTTGTTCACCAATGATGAAAGAAACATCGAATGTAAATCCAAAGCATTGAAATTTAATGATTTTAGCAGCATTTCAGATGCAACGGATGTAACGAATATGGCCACTGAAAAAGAGCATTTAAATGATGTGAATCAATCCTTTGACGACTACAGAAGAAAACTGATGGATAATATTAATTCAGAATTCTCCGATAACGAAGGAGCTGATAGAGAAGCCATAGATCTTGTGAATATGTTGGATATATCATAAGTCTTTAGACGATTCTAGAAGAATGGTTACATTCATATGTACATTTATTTAAAAGAATATTTACAATCGTTATTGCGTAGTGAAAATATGATATAATTTTTTGTGATTTTTAACAATCTGTTTGTAAATCTAAAATATATTTTACATTATTTTTACTATCGACTTTAAGAGTATTTACAACAGCTTCTTCATATTGGTTAAATGGAATAAGTTGGTAGCGCGGAGGCTGTAATTTTTTTTCAATAAATAAATTTTGCAACTCATCGTACATTTTATGCCGTTCTTCCGAGTTGAAATTGTCCTTGGTCCATGAAGTCATCCAAAAGCCTTTGAAAGTAATGTCCTGTAATATTAAGATATAACTAAAAATGTACTTCCTCTTTTAGTTTTTTAAGAAAGAGAAAGAAATGTCGTGTATTTTAATATTGAAATAATCAGAGGACAAATTGATCAGATGACAAATTTATAAAATTAGTACTCGAAATAATTACTTTGAAAATTAAATGCGATGCTGGAACCATCAAAGGTTCTCTAGACATTCCTCCGTATGTTACCATGATACCACCATGGACTAAATGTTTTTGAATTTCCCATGCATTTTTACCGCAAACGCAATTCAGTGCTAATCGAGGCTGCGGAAGTATTTGACTTTTGAAAATGTTTGTCGTCTTTAATTCTTCTTCCGTTAATACTTCTGTAGCGCCTAAATTTAAAAGTTGCTCCTGGCAGGAAAAAAGTTTACAAACTATAATTTAAAGCACTTTCTTTTAATCTAATGCCATGAATATTAATTACTTTTAAAGTTTCGATATTGGATCTATTTCTAACAATATTAATAGTTTTGATACCCCAAATCTTACAAAGTTGAATTACTAATTGCCCAACGGCTGAATTTCCTCCATTTTGAATTATAGTTTCACCGGGTTGCAGACAAATGAAATCCTTTAACATTCTATAGGCTGTACAAGGATTAACATTTAACATACTAGCCCCAATCGCGTCCATTTTCTTATTTACCTAGATGAAATATTACAAAAACGATTATGAATGACACGTTTTACAATGAACAATGAACAATGAACAATGAAGAAACTCGTACTTTAAATAATTCTTGGGATTCGTACATTGCATGGGACCTCCATGTACCTTTATTAACTCCATTAGGAAGAACCCTATCACCTAAATTAAAATCTCGAATATTTGAACCAATTGCTACTATTTCACCTATAGCTTCATTGCCTGGCACAGCGGGAAGAGGAGATCTACTCGGATATTTTCCTTGTATCGTATTAATATCGGCCGGATTTACTGGCGCAAAAAGCCATTTTACAATAACCTAAAAATCCCAAAGAAAATGTCAATTGTATTAAAATTATGAACAAAGTGCATGAGAAATTTCAAATAAATATTGTTTAATATTATATATTTTACTTGATTTTCGCATGGTTGCTGAAGAGAAGACGTATGTATCTGAAGCACATTTTTAGGATCTCCGTACTCTTTATACATTAGCGATTTGACCTCATTATTACTCGATATCATTCTTCGCCAATAATGACTTGGTACGGACAAATTATTTATCAACAAATTACTCACTCTCCCGAATTTCATATTGATTCAGATATCTTCCAACCAAATGCCGGACGGAACACCGGATATTCGAATGAATTCGAGGTTATGGCTCTGTTTTGACATATTATTATTATTATTATTATTATTATTATTATTATTATTATTATCGGTCCCGGTCACATGATCGAGTATTAAGTTCCAACAGTAAAACAGTCAACAGTGACTAGTGGAACCCCGAAGTCCTCGAACTTTGGAAACTATCGAAGAGAAGCTCGTTAAGTTCTTAACGTGGAGAATTTGGAAAATATCGATCAGTAACGTGAAAATCCGTATTCATTTACCGAGTGTCCGTTTATATTAAAGACTAGTTTTGCATGCGTCTAACGGTATGTAATGAAACGGAGAAGAGCTTGAGTGGATAAGAGATCCTATTTAACCAAAGTGACATTATTAAACGTGAGCTTGATAAATAAGAAAAGTTGACGGGTATACCGTAAATTTTCATTTACTTATCGTATTTATTATTAGGATATATGTATAAACATATATTATATGTATTGTATCTTATGTAGATAGGTGGTGCGTTATATTAATTGCATTTATTCGGTTGATTACGTCGAAATCTCGGACGACGTCGGACGGATGAAGCAGTATCGCAACAAATTAATTAAAAAGAATCGGTGACGATATGCTACTGATGATGAAAGTATTGTCAATATTAAATAATTGACCGTGAATTTTTTATTTTTATTTAATTATTTATTTTTCATTTTTTTTTTTTTTTTTTTTTTTTTTTTTTTTTTAATAAATAATCGAGTCAACGACCGTTTACCTTAATTAAAGTAACATAGAAGGTTAAAGGGGCAAGAGAAATGGACTTTGAAAGCCCTGATGTTGAAAAAGAATTTCCAGGCCTTTATGCATCAGATACTACCAAAAAAAGCGAGAGTGACTGTGAGTTTTATTATTTATTATTTCAGCTTAATATTTTTTTAGTATAACACTAACTTATTTTGCAATGATTAGTTTCATTAGGTTAGGTTCTAAAAACGAACTTTGTCTCTTTCGAATGTATATTTCTCATCATTTACGGTATATTTTATAGGCGATGCATGGTAATTTTTTTAAAGATTATTATAGCTTTGTTTTTTTAACATGTTTTGCAACTTTTATTTATTAATTTGTTTTGATTAGTTGAAAAAAGCACATTAAATGAAATTTCGTATGATTTCTTTCAGTTAGCGATGATGGTATACATGATAAGCATTCGAAGAAAGAGCTACTTGGTGGCAACAAACGTAAGGATAAAAAAGATAAAAAAGACAGGGGCTATGCCACTTTAGAGGGAGAGAGTTCAGCCGATGACGAGGAAACGAAGCAAGTTTACATTAAATGTAAAATTTTTTTTTCAAACCATTGTATTTAATTTACAATTGCTTTATTTAGAAGCCCTTCGAAATCTAAATCCAAATCAAAAACATTTAAATTTCCCACTAAAAGTAGGGAAAAGCGAGAGAAATCTAGAGAAAAAGATATTAAAGAAAAAGATTCCGATAAAGAGAAAAAGAAAAAAGATAAAGAAATTGAAAAGGACATTGATAAAGAGAAACGTAAAGAAAAGGATAAGATAAAGCAAAAACACAAAGATCGTAAGAAAGGAAAACATGGAGATGATGCTTCAGATATTGGTGGTAAATCATTCAAAAGATATTTATGTCATGTAAAAATCTAATATTTTTAATATTTTCTATAGACTATGGCATATTCTTCCAATCTGCCATATTAACTAATTACTATTAATAAAATTGATTCATAACATTTATTATGTAACATGTCTGTTCTATTATTATTGTTGTTATTTTAGCGATGTCTGTTATAATGTATTTACAAATTTTTATTTTTATTTCAGAAGAAGAACCAATTTTTGGCGTTAATTTATATTTAGCGATAGAAAGGAGTCGGTGTCATGATGGTGTCAAGTTGCCTCTAATAGTAAGAGATTGTATTGACTATTTAGAAGAGTATGGAATGTCAGTCGAAGGCTTGTATAAAGTCCCAGGAAATAAATCAAAAGTGCAACAATTAAAAAAATTATATAATCAACGTGAAACTGTAAATATGTCAGAATTTGAGCCTACAGTGGCAACCAGTTTATTACTACTTTTTATCAAGTTAGTAAAACTCTCGATATAATATATAAGAGTTTAATACTTTAATCTGAAAGCTTTGCAAATCTATTATCTTTTATTGCGAATATAAATGAAATATGTATTTAGTTAAATTATTTTTCTATTTGAAATCATAATCTTTCTTTTGTACTTCCTTTAATTACGAACTTGTACCTGCATTTGTAAAATGTATTTGCTTAATCGAAGAGAACTCCCGGAACCAGTATTAGAAAGCAGCGAATTAATATCTCGATTCGAACAAGCAGCTTCGACCAAAGAAGTTGCACAAAGAGAGTCTCAACTTGCAGAACTGTCAAATCAATATTTGAGCGATTGTAACAGAGTACTTTTAGCATGGATAACATTGCATTTGGATCATGTTACTGCCTCGGTGTGTAAAAATGCTTTTTCAATAATTTAAATAAATTAATACAAATATCGATTCAACTCATTAATGAATTTGTACTACGTTTTTTTCAAAATTTATTCAACTCTATTTACCAATGTCGGTTTAATTACCATAACTATATATTTATATTTTTAAAGTTTAAAAGTGAGAAATTTATTTGCATTTAAATATATTGATATCGATTTAACTTTTTTGGTAGTCAGAATTCATTAGTGTCATTAATTATGTATAACGAATAAACAAATGTTTTATAATTTTATAATCAATTGGAATAAAACAGGAAAAAACTACGAAAATGAATGCCCAGACGATAGCAATGACACTGAGTCCCGCTTTGCAAATGAGCCATAGATTGCTCTTAGCTCTATTATTTCACTGTAAGGCATTGTTTCCTGAAATCAAGCTAACAAAATATATTCCACCATTACCCGCTGGCTCCAATCATTTGCCGGAAACTGTTCGGGGTATCGTGAAAGAGTTGGCCAAACAGGAATCTCTCCTATCGCAAATTCATATGCTAATGAACGCTGGCTATGTAAATAAGTCACGCGAAGAACAACTCTGGGAAGTACAGCGTATGATAACACAATTAAAGGTATAGTCATGGTAGAGTCTTACACTTACGTATATAGACAAATACTTTCATTAACACGATAATATGTAAGAAAATAAATAGCATTTATCATGGTATTAAAGATACAAACTCGTAAGTTCACACGCACACGCCCGCATATAGCTTCTTTTACACTTCAATTATTCGTCATGGATTACACGTAACATTTTTATGTGCTAATAATAGTAATTCAACATTTTTATTTAGTGTAATTTTTTGTTATAGAGAAAGTATAAAGTAGTACAAAAATTGGAGGGTTCGGTCCGAAAGAGCGTAGATGAAGAAGCAACCAAACCAAGTGATGAAAGTCAATTACATTTCTCAGATAGTCAAATAAATAAAGTAGTAACAAATACTGAAGATGAATGTGATCGCTTAAAAGTCTTAGAAGTTTCGAAAGAAGAAGCTCGCCAAAAATCTATGGAAAATACTAATAATCCAATCCCATTGATTGAAAAAGATACAGCAGATAAGCCTAATAAAAAGATAATAAATAATATTGATACAAAAATGGAAACATTTTACGTAACAACAAAGTCCAAAGAAACTGGTATTTATATAATTAATCTAAATAATATAAATGTTATAATTTCCAGTTTTGTTTATATTAAGCAATTTACAAATATTTGATGAAATTATTAATTTACATTTACAATATTGCAAATTAATTTTTAAATATTTCAATTGTAACATTCAATCAACCCAAATAATAAATCAGGTTATTTTTTGTCAATGAAACCTTTAATATTTCAATGAATCGAAGAGTAGATTTTCATTGAATAAAACTATGCTTCAACATTGTTGCAGCATCCGAGTCAAAAGAACAAGAGCCAGTAGTTGAAAACGAGATTGATAGACTTCGCGAGTATCTCATTTATGAAGAGTTAGTCAATATGCAAATTTCACTACAATCGCGAATTTCACATGAGCATAAAGAAATCGAAAGACTGACAGAATTGCTGGCGGAACGCATTGGTGCAGGAAAACTAAAAGTGCCTGTTGTTGACAAAATGATAAGCTCTAGTGACGCGGAAATGTCAACTATGATTCAACTAGTCAAAGAAAATCAATTGTTAGAGGTGAATTATACCGACTATTTTATTATATAAAAAATTTAATCCATATCACTCGTTATATACATTTATGATTTATTTTAGCACCAATTTTTTTTTATAATTTTATTATTAAATAGACAATCTGTTTTCATTTTATATCTGTTATTCATTTTATTGAAAAATAGTGATTTTTATGGTATGTTTATGGTACCATTTTCTTTGTAAAACTTTAATTTGTAAAAGTTATACGATATAAAATAAGATAATTCATAATTCATTTTACTAATTTGTATATTTATTAAGAAATTTCATTTAATTTTGTATTCGTTGGAATTATATAATAATAATTTTATTAAATTATTCTATACCATGTGCATAAGTATTTATAATACGGTAAATTATGATAATTTAAATACAGAATTTTAAAAATAATTTTCATTCTGTTTATTTTTCATATGTCCTTTATTTGGAAATGTAAAATAAAATTTAAATTAATACACAAACTAAGGACTAATTTTAAAATCAATTCATTAAAGTGAATAACAATAAAATTATATCAAAAAATAAAAAAGAATAAGTTATAATAAAATCTATGTATAATTACATATAATTACTTAACAGTGCATAAATTCTTCTAACAAATTTTTATTGATCATTACAAAAAATATTTATTTTTTTTATTTAAAAAAAAAAAAACAATAGTGTAATTCAATAATCGGGTGGCATAATGCATATTTTGCAACGTAATCCAACATAATAGAAGTATAAAAATTATTTCTATTACATTTTGATCTTTTGAAGATTATTTTTTTTTCTTCTTTTTCAGAAAAAATTGACAACTCTGATTCACAGTATTTTTGAACAGAAAGATGCTTCTGTTGAATTGAGAGTACAATTAGCTTTACATCCACATATAATGGCCCAAAAAGCACGAAAATGTCTTTAAAAATATATAAATTTTAGGATTAATCTCCTATTTTTATATCATAGTTTCTTTTTATAAACATTATTATTTTTGTCTAAGTACCTTTCAAAAATAACTTAAGATCAATGAATCACGATTATATTTTTTCATTAAAAAATAGTATTGTTAGTACACGAATCATATACCAAATTAACATAGAAAATATGGTGTCTTATACATGCATACATAGTTTATTAGCAAATAAACGTGTAATAAAATATTCGTCAAATACTTTTACATGAACTAGAACCATATAAATAAAACGTTTCTATAAAGACAAAGTTAAGAATATTGAAGTTTTTATTTAATATATTTCCCTATTTTAATTAATTTATTATTATTAATAGTGTGGTGACTATTGCTACTGTTCTTCGTATTAATTATTTAAAAAAAGATTGTATAATTATTGTATTTGCTAAAATTAAAATAACATTCTATACAAAATATTTTTTTAATTTTAAACAATAAAGATTCGGTCGTAATGATGTATGAATTTAAACATAGAAAATTAAATATTCTTGCATATATGTATATACATATATATATATATATATATATATATATATATAGGTGTGTGTGTGTGTGTGCGTGTGTATTTTTAAATAATTGCAATTTTTATGTAAATTATAATTTAATTCATTAAAAACATATTATAACTATATATATATATATATATATATATATATATATATATAGATAGATATATAGATATGTATTAAGAAAAGAAATCAATTGAAATATTTCGTTATTAATTTGTGTTGTAACCAGAGATAAGCGCGAAAAGCAATTTTTACAAGTATTTTATAAGAGTCGTAATCGAACGAATGGTACAGCTTCCCGAATTTCATGCGTTACGACTTCACTTTCTTAATTACATTTTTAATTTCAACCATATTTACGATCGTAACCTGCATTTTGCGTTTGAATTTCTCCTTTAAGAACCAAGGTCATACATCCCATGCATGTGATGTAACAGAAATTGATTCGGCATACCAATCGCTTCATTTTCTCGGTCATATATATCTTCTATTAATAAAAACATCATTTATCTATTGTTTCAAATTTAATGGAGTTTAATTAAAAAATTTTCAATTTATCTAATATTATAATATAACTTAAAATACCAAATAAATATTTAATCATTTAACTAAATATTGGGTAAAAATAATCCGCTAAACAGATGACAATTATAAATGAGAAGTATGTAGCTGTCATAAATAAACAACTGTTTTCTCAATGTTACACTATAATTTTACGATAAAAAAATATATTTGCGAGAAAAAGATTTAAGGTCGAAAGTTTATAAAAACATTCGCTACGATAAATGTATATTAAAAACTATAGTGCTGAATAGATTTAATTATTATAATTAAATTCTGAAAGGACTGTAAAAATGGTTTTCATAAAAGCTTATTATTTATAATTTTAAATTTCCTTACAAGATAAATTTAATATTTATGAGACCTTCATAAGTCTCTAACGTAATGATTAATATTAAAATATCACAGAAAGTTACATTCTCTTGTTGTGAATTTTTATTTTTAATAAAGATATTTATTTATGATGTTATAATTAAAATTACTATAATATAACTAATTAATACTTCAATTGTAATAAATTGTTTAAAATAGGGTGGGTTAATTTTTAAAAGGTTTTTGCTGATTTTATTCAAATACCACGTAATATACGTACATTTTGCAATTATTTGCAAAATTGATTTCATCTAATTATTTAAGTAGTTTATACGAGATTTTGCTTCAAATTTCAAAATGTATACTAATTTGTAATCGATAAAAAAAAAGATCCATTTTATATTAAATTTTTTCTTATATTTAGTGATTATACTTTATGATATCACCAACACTTTATAATTTCATATTTGACTTTATATGCTTTATACTTTAGAATTTTATATTCAATTTAATTTATTTGCATTATTGTACACTTAATTCAAAACATGAAATGAAAATCTTATTCATATTAATTTTTATCTTTATATATTAACTCATTAAAGACATTAAGACCGTCTAATAATAATTAAAATAAAACATTTGAATGATATTAATAATATGATATTATTATTAATATGATATAATAATAATATGTATGATAATAATAATAATAATAATAATATGATATTATAATTATACACAAAAAAAAAAAAAAGAAAAAAAAAATAACGTCATTTTCTTATTTAAAATTGATTCTTATCCGTACAATTTGAATAAATCTATAATTAAAGAAAAATAATAATGTAAATAGAAACATTTTAAATTAAATAACTCATCAGCATCTGTATATTAAGAAAGAAAAAAAAAAGTAACGACAATTCGTTCGTAATTGTATATTATATTTTGAAAATTGTTTTTTTTTTAAATGAAAGTCAGTGCTGAAAGCTTAACAGTGTTATCAGAGAAGTGCGTAATATTTTTCTGAAAAATCCATCCTTTTTAAGGATCTTTAAGGATATCAAATTGTTATTGCATATATGTATTATTAAAATCGATTAATTTATGTTACATGATAATTATAAACATTGGATATTTCGGGTCACCTTTATCTAGATCCGAATGAAATTTTCAATGTGTTATTAAATTATTTAGCTACCGAAATCAATGTGCCACGATCGTAATATGAATTTTGATAAAGATGACAAATGTGTAACACTCTCCCATGTGTTAATGATTATTGTTAATTTATGAAACTGAGAATAAAGATGTTTTAACAATTCGCTCCGCGATAGATCAAATTTGAATTTTAAGTGTCGCTAACTCGTTGTTTTCTAAAATTTAGATAATTAAGTTCTATTACGTATTAGAAATAATGTTTCATAATTGAAATTATGATTATATAATACGCGCATATAAATTTACAGCAATAAAGATGTATTAATGCTTTAATACATCAGAATTAATAGAAATTTAAAATTTCAAAACTTTAGTAATTGTTAAACAATATATAGTACCTCATGTGAAGTAAATTTATTGTTTAAGGGTTTAACAATTTCTTAACAATGTTTTAAGATATATAGGATTTCTAGCTACGATGACGTTATAAGGAGTAGTGTTTTAGTATTTAAGTATGTGGGATTAGATATTAGATGAATTTTATGAACAATTATATGATTAAATGTCTGTGTACCTGTAAAATAATTTAAAGGTTAACGTGTTTTACCGTTGAGAAAGACGACGATACGACGAAGAGCGAGGCCGTCCTTGTCACTGATAGAAACTACAGCGGACGAATGGAGACTGCAAAAGCAGTCAGAGATCGTCCGGTTAATCGACAAGTCATTAGACGCGCGAAGACGAGGCGCTCTCGAGCTCTGCTTTAAAAACTGTGAAAAAATGAAGTGAAAATCCATTCGAGTGCTTTCCGAAAGATCAATGATGCAATTTTAGGGAAATTTTAAAACGAATTGCGTTGCCCGTATGTCTTTATAAGGTGTTCGAGCAACTGCTTATGGTTCTTCATTTGGATGGTGTTCGCTTTGAACGACAACGGTGTGCGTTCGTTTCCATGGTACGTAATATTATTAAATCTGATCTGTATTCGTAAAATAATATTTTTCAACATCTATAGAGATGAACGTATTTTAATATTTTATGTTGTGTATTTTTTTTTTTTTTTTTTTTTTTTTAAGAGAATATAATAATTTTTAATAAAATTTTCTTCTTGTCGCTATAATTATTAATTTTATTAATTTTAAAGGACAGATAATGTTAACGTACGTTTAAAATCATAATCGATTATGAAATTATGAAAAAGCTTCCTCGATCTTATGATTGTGCTTGATGAAGAAACGAACGGGAAAGCAGAAAGGCCTTTTACAATTTAGAAAATTAAATGTAAATTAGGGTAAAAAGAAAATCAATATGAACTTTTCAGCGATACTTTATATTGTTATTATTATCTGCATGACAATTTTCATTCGATGCTCAACCGAGTCATATATTAGCACCTATGATTTTGTAATAATCGGTGCTGGTTCGGGAGGCTCAGTACTGGCAAATCGATTGAGCGAAGTCGCAGAATGGAAAATCTTACTAATTGAAGCTGGAAAGGAAGAAATATTCCTGACGGATGTTCCATTACTTGCTCCTATCATGCAGATAACTGACTATAATTGGGGATATAGGACAGAGCCTAAGAAAGGACAAGTAAATGAAACTTATATTTTTGTTTTTGTTTTTTTTATTGTTTTTTTTATTGTTTATGAAATGATCATTCTTACGCAAGATACTTGCATGTGTAATTTAATGTGGTGAATCATGCGTAATTATTTTCTTAAATTTCGTATTCAGATCTCTTTTTTTCCGAACAGCACTTACCAAATTTGGCTTAATGCTTATTACGACGAATCGTGTATTAAAATAATTTTTATACCGAACTTTCATCAATAACTATTGCAAATAAATAATTTTATTTATTAACAATTTTAGTTACACTAATCGAAAGAAATTTATTACTTTGGCAAATATAAGTAAAAAAAAAAAAAAAAAAAAAAAAAAAAAAAAAAACGAATAAAATCAAATATACTTTATGATAAATTTACACAAAATATAGATTATATAAACTAAAAATTAATGTAAAGGACATTTCATTCATTTGAATTATATAAATATTGTTATAAAAAAAATGTCATTTAAAGATGTTCGAACGATAAATTAGAAAATTATTATATTATCGCTAGCGCGTATAACAAACTATTTATACAGATTATTACATTCAATCGATAAATTAAAATTAAAACATTAAATTATTCCAAAAATTGGATAGATCCTTTACAAATATGTGTCTAAGTGAATTCATATGTAACGTTGTTATGTATGAAGATTATATTTTCTATATAATATACAAAATCAGTTGATACTTTCACTTCTCTATTTTTGGAGTAAAGCTAAAGAAATCTCGGTATAAGGAAAATATAAAAAATAAAAATAATCCAATTAATAGCAGTAGCATAGGGAAAGCTCAATGTCCGTGCGTAATGATTTTGGAAAATTTACACCTGTTGAATGATTATTTTATCGAATGACATTGATAATTAACGAATCTAAACTGAACGAAAAAGTTAGTTAAAAAAAAAAAAAAAAACAAAAACAAATAAAACAAAACAAAACAAGCGATACTAGATCTAAAACAATTTCTAAATTATATCTTTTACTTGAATTTTTTTTTTTTATAAAATCATCCGTTTGTTCATAGCATGGCTACTGTTTGTCAATGGTCGATGGTCGTTGCAATTGGCCACGTGGTAAGGCCGTTGGGGGCACATCGGTTATTAATTTCATGATTTACACGAGAGGTGGCAAGGCTGATTATGATAAGTGGGAGGCTTATGGCAATACAGGTTGGGGCTACGACGATATCTTGCCTTACTTTTTAAAATCGGAGAACAACAGGTGAATGAATGTTTTGTGATGGATTAATTTCATTATTCTATCGCTTATCTACATATGGATAATAAATATCTTCTATGTAAATTGCATTTGTCCTATAGCGATATTGGAAAACTTGTTTATAAGTTACGTATTTGGTAATAATATAGTCAATTTGTTTTATGAATTATTTAAAAACTGTAGACTATAATAAATATTTTATGATGATTTATAATAAATAGTATTTTAAATTGTTGTTAATTAATTATGATTTGAAAATTTTTTAAAATTACACATAATTTTAATACTTTCTCATTTGATGGTTTTATTTATGATTAATTTTTATTAATATACTTATGAATTTCTTCGTCACAATGTCACATTGATGCAATGTAATCACGATATTGTAATAATTTGACTTTATTTACCAAACCATCGTAATTTGTCATACAAGAATAAATAAGCTATATGCTATTAATACCGGCCATTACCTTAATTTATTTGCACTACGTCACGTTTTCATTATAATTTAAAAATTATAATAATAATTATATTTATTATCAAAGTTTTAAAAAAATTAAAAATTATCGTCTAATTTTAAAATCGTATCGCGTCAACTGAAATAAATGTAACGATTTCATACAATTTTATCCTTACTATTTTATAAGAACTTACAATTATACGATTATATTTAAATAACGACGAACATTTATGATTATTATATAGAATTATGTGGAATTGAACTAGCTAAATAATATTAAATTTCATCGTTTAGACTAAAATATCACGATAAAAGATATCACTCTAGTAACGGCTATTTGGATGTTTCTGATGTGCCTTACGTATCCAGGCTTCGAAATCCTTTTCTACAGTCAGCCAAGGAATTTGGATATAAAATTAACGACTATAATGCTGAAAGGTAAACAGGACATAATATTTAATATATAATTTATAATACAGTGAAAAAAATTGAATCGATTATATTGTTCAAAAGCTTATTTATATAAATTGAAGAATTTAATTTCATTTGCTATTGGCTTTAGCATATTGTTTAAACGAATTGTCTTCTGCTGTTCTAATGAGATTATTTTTGTACATATACGAGGACAAATATTTCAAATACTAGCTACTTTAAAAGCTCGTATTCTTTTATCGATTATACGTATACCAGTCGAGTAAATTTATCTCTTAAGGCTATTTTTAATGTACGTATACTGCATTGAAGTTTTTTTTTTTTTTTTTTAATTTTGTGTATTTCATATTAAATCAAAAGTATTATTTTCAAAAAAGACATGATATGTGCGAGAGAGAGAGAGAGAGAGAGAGAGAGAGAGAGAGAGAGAGAGAGCGCGCGCGAGCGAGCGAGTAAATTGCATTAGGATCATAAATCAGAGATAAAATTTCTTTTCCTTTCTCAATGATTGGTGGTTTGTTTTATTATTTTCTAATCGTGTGGTTGATTGATTTATACAATTTAGACGCGGATCGTCGACTTTCAGCAATTAAAATAACGAGTCGAGATTTATGTTCACAGGTTACGAATAGCTGATCAATTAAAAAAAAAAAAAAAAAAGACAAAAAAAAACTATCTATTTAATACAAATAGTTTAAATACAATGTAAAATAGGGGAATGTATGTTATGTAATGTATTTTTAGATTATTGGGTTTCTCAGCCATTCAAGCTAATCTGCGTAACGGGCGCCGCGTGAGCGCCAGTAAGGCTTTTCTCGATCCAATTCGCCAAATTCGGAAAAACTTGCGTATATTAACTTTTGCTCGTGTCGTAAAGATACTGATAGAGCCTGAGACACATCGAGCAATTGGCGTCAAGTTCCTTGATAGAAATCAGAAGATGCATATAGTAAAAGCCAAGCGCGAAGTACTTTTGTGCGCGGGTACTTTGAACTCGGCCCAGCTGCTTATGCTGTCAGGTGTAGGGCCCAGGCAGCATCTGAAACAGTTGGGAATTCAAGTTATAGAGGATCTACCGGTTGGCTATAATCTACAAGATCACGTTAGCATGGGTGCTTTAACATTTCTGGTTAACGACACTGTTACAATCATGGAGTCAAGATTACTCACGAATCCAGTCAACGTTTTTGATTATTTTATTAAGGGTACCGGGCCATTTACTGTACCTGGGGGTGCGGAAGCATTGGCTTTTATCGATACAAAAACGTGTAAGTATTACATATCATATTACATGTCATAATGCATATTGAACGGCACGGGAATAAATTGGTACACGCAAATATTTAGCTAAAATTAAGCGTATGAGCCCCCTGTTAAAGTACTCGGACGATAAATTTCTACTTATATATGTTATAAAATCATAGTATTATGGTGTGTGACAATAGGATTATTTATCCATAATTTTTATTGTATAAACTGTTCGTAATTGAAACGTTTAAATTACTGCTTTAGATTACTATCAAAGTTTGTTGAAATCTCATTTAATAAAATTTAATTAGTTAAATTACTCGTGAGTAAATATACTCATAAATATCCTTATCGATACAAGAGAAAATAAAAATAATACAGCGTAGTTGAATGTGTTAATTTCAATGTAGTTTTTTATGCATAGATTGCTATGTTTTATTAATTTTTTCGTTTCTTTTCCATTCATTTCAATTACTAGTATGATCATTATTATTATTAATTGTTGAAAGCATTATAATCATTTATTATTAATCTTAGTATGAAATTATTCAAAATTTTAATGCAGAAGTCAATTTCGTTTTATTTTCTATCTACGTAATTGGAATTAGTGCTTAGTGCAAGACAGACCGAAGAAATTTCTTCAAATGTCGTCGGTGCTCTTGGAAAATAGCAGTGACCATAAAATGTAAGCCGAAATAAAAAAAAAAAAAAAAAAAAAAAAAAAAAAAATTAAAAAAAAAGCCTAGTTTGTGCAGTACAGCTGTGTTGTCGTGAATTCTTGCATCAATGTAGAAATGCTCTTGATATTTGTAAGCGAGTAAATTATTGCGCGAGTAGTATCAAGACCAGAAACGATCAAAACATACGAATTAACTTCTATATAGAATATTGAAATTTTCTCCAAAAATAATCTTCAAGCGTAATAGTCTTTTTTTCTTATTATGAATCATAATTCAATATTTTTTAAAAATATCATTAGCCAAATGCTGCTACTAGGCTGCCTTTCAAGCTTTTTCCTCTCTATTGTCTATTACAAACTTATTTATACATAATGAATTTCCTTCTCTTAGTTGTCTTAGAGTAATAGAGCATCGCTGCGATGATAATGAACGGCTACCTTTTAAGGTCCGTTTGATTTGTCACACACGCTGCAATTAGTGCTCTAGCACCCATATTATAACACTCGGTGTTGTAGGTGCATAATTTACATATATCACTTCTTATTGATCGTCGAGTTTTAATTTCTTATTAATTAGAGTGGTACTGAATCTTTTATTATGAACTAAATAGAATATTATATTCTGCATAGGATAAATTGATGTATAATAAATCATCGATAAATAATAGATGTTTTAAAACTAGTTTAATTAGATAAACAATTTATGAAGAAAAAATACGAAAATAAAATAATGAATTTTTAGGAAAGAAATTTCACAGTACATATTGCAATATTTTGATCAATTATGGTAATAGTTATTTGTTTTAATTTTATCTTGTTTTCTTGTATTGTTTGTCTATTTAAGTAATATTAAACTAATAAAATAATAATAAGAATAGAATGAAAAGAACAATAATAAAGTAAGAATGATAAAATGGAGAAAATAATTTTTTTCCTAATTATAGTAAGCAGAAGTAAAATTTTGAATTTATCCACAGGATGCCCATAAAAAATGCTCAATTTGCTCGTATACATTAATTTACCATTAGTCTTAGAAAGAGATAACCACCAAGATGAAACGGCGGATTACCCGGATATCGAGCTGGTTTTGGGAATTGGAGCACTTACGGGTGATTTATCCGGCAGTATGCGTCATTTATTTGCCCTAACCGACGACTTCGATCGTCAAGTTTTTGCCGATCATAAGGGCTCCGATGCTTTCTCTATTGTTCCTATTTTAATGAAACCCAAGAGTTACGGTAGAGTTAGTTTACGAAGCGCGAATCCTCTCGATCCGCCAATTTTAGAAGCCAATTATTATGAGCAGCAGGAAGACTTGGATACGATGATTCGTGGCATCAAAGCGGTCAGTGCAATAACAATAAATAACATTAAATATCTTAAGATTAAAATTTTTCAAAACAAAATTATTCTCCTATAATTTACAATATTTACAAGATTATGTCTAATGAAAATATTATTATATTTGTTTATAAATGGCAACATCCATCGTTTCATTTATCGTCGTTATTAATAGTTTTATAAGCAACGCAGTCACTGTTGCCATTGATAAATTACTGTTAAAACTGCTCGTTAATCGATTTATTATGAATGTTATTTTTTTCTTTTTTTCTTTTCGATCATAATGTGTCGTGCGATTGTTATTGAACAAAAATTAAATAGTGTGATAAAATTTTAGGGTATTAAAGTAGGAATGAGCCAAGCTTTTAAGCATTTCAATACAACTCTGCTGCCGATGACATTTAATGGCTGTGATAGATTTGTTTTTAATACCGATGAGTATTGGTCATGTGTGGCTCGTCATATATCAACGACACTCGGCCATTTTACGGGGACTTGTAAAATGGCTCCACGAACTAATGGAGGAGTAGTCGACCCCAGGCTAAGAGTTTATGGCGTTAAGAGTCTCAGGGTTATCGATGCGAGCATTATGCCAGAAATCATTGCAGGACATACATGTGCGCCAACATATATGATTGGGGAAAAAGCAGCGGATATGATCAAGGAAGACTGGGCAGTTTCTACAATTTAATAATATATTATGTCATAATGCGTATACAGATTAAAGATTTGTTTAGATGCTAAATTAATGTAAATATAAATATGCTTTTGTGCATAAAACTTACCGAGTACGTGTTGTGCTGCGAGGATTGGTCTAGCTTCTAAATATTCCTTATTTGCTATTTTCTCATAAAATTCATTTATATATTATTGTATCATCGTTACATGTTTAGCTCATTATTACACTCTTCACAACACACAAACACATATCCGAAGAGAAAATAGTATAAAATACATTTAAAATAAAAATGAGTTTTTTCATATAGTAATGAGCATTAAATTAAATTAAATTAAATGTCTGCTCAATCGATTTGATGCATTGGCACGTAATTACTTTAAATAAACTTATTATGAAAGAAAACTTGAAACTTGAATCGATGCTAAGGATTGCTAATTGATAGTTGATGAAATTTATTAAAATACATTGCTTTTCGATATTTTATACGAATAACGTATACATTTCGGCTCCGTTGCTATTTATATTTGTTGCAAAAAATATTCACACTAGTTAGTAGTGCGCACGTTGATTGGAATACAGTAAAAAGATAATATTGATTTTTTAAACGTATAGTTTTACAATCACTGTAACATACATCGAGACATCCTAGTATACTTACATTTATATTTGTTATCATGTTCTGCATAAAGTAATTTTTAAATTTCATAACTTTCGTAATTATCGATTTGGATTAAATTCCTGTTTTTTCGAAAGCCAAAGAAGTTTCTTTTGCCCAAAATCACGTTCAATTCACATCGTATAGAACAATTATTATTAAATTATAAAAAAAAAAACTATTCTTACATAATAATGATTAGTAATGACAAGAATAATGAATTGCCCAAGAGATTAATTTTACGTTAAATTAAATGGTAATTAAGAAAAATCAATTGTCCGCATAAATTTGTCACAGAAATTTAATATAATTAATTAATTAATTATTATAACTTTATGGAAACATAATTTATCGAGTTGTTGAGAATGTAAATATCATCGTATTCTCACTAAATGAAAAATTCATTTGTATTTTCAGAATATCGCTGACTTAAGGTATCGTTAAAAGATGTATCTTTGTGCGCGCGCGCGCGCGCGTTTATGTGTGTAGAACAATCTCGTATTTATTCTGTTTTCACTCTTATTAATGATTGCCTTGGATTAAACGCTCTACTAATAATTTCTTTTAATAATCAAGTGCCAAGCGACTTAATAGATATTGCATCGATTTTAATTGAAAGAAAAGAAAAAGAAGAAAAAAAGGTAAATTTTGAGTTTTCCAATTTAATCTACAATTTTTAATCATACTCACTCCAATCGTACATAATTTTTTAGAAATTAATATATCTATTCAGAAATATCATTCGACAAGTACATAAAGGATATATATTTTAAGATCGATAAATCTTATATAAGATTCAAAATAATTTGATCAAATTAATTTGATATATTATTGTAAATTATTATAATTATAAAATGCCCTAATGCGGATAAAGCTAAAGTAAAAATAAGTAGATAGAAATTTTTGAGAAAATATTGAATAGATTAATTTTTTTACTAAAGTACGGAGGCAATAATGGTTAAGGTTGTCCTTAATTATCAGATAAAAATTAAGGCAATACTTACTCCTGTATTACTTCCAGGACAGTCGTATTGTTGGAATAATGCGTCCAGGTCCTACGATGAAATTCGCTGCTTAATTCGCTAATCAAGAATTCGTAATCTCGAGAAAATGTAATCTGTGGAGCCAAAGCAACGGACAAAACTTAGACATATAAAATATTTTAATACGAAATTTTAATTATTTTAAGAATGTAGAAGTGATTTTAAATTTGTGCCATGTAAAAAATATCGCTTCTATACAAAAAGGAAAAGAGAAATTATTTTTTTAACGTCTTTAATTTAGTTGCTTATTTCTATATAAAAATTACAGTATAAATTAAAGTTACAGATAATTTATTTCAACATATCTATGAATAAGTTATTGGAATTGATAGTACATGGATATGTAAATAATGATTTGATGATAAGTCATTGCGAATAGAAGTATCATCCAATCATTTATTATTGCTTTATTCATTAAACGAGCAATGAAATATTACTGTCCACTGTTCAATCGTCATTCCCATGCTAATGACTCAAGCTGTAAGTGACGTATGGATTCATTGAACAATATAAAATTCTATTCTCCGATTCAAATATAAAATTTCAAATATATGCGCCATTATAGAATATATTTTATTTTTGAAAGCAAGAAATTTTTTCGTTAATAAATAATACTGTTAATAAGTCAAATTTATCATTATTGAGTTCGTACTACTCATTATCGCTTTTATATACCATCTTTACACAATATATAACATTTATTATTATTATTATTATTATTATTATTATTATTATAATTATTTTTTTTTTTTTTTTTTTTTTTTTTTTTTTTTAAACGATCTAACGAATATCGTAAATATACTTGTATACATTTTTCATATTTTTATATTCGTAATCTTATAATTTTTTAATATAACGAAATATTGTTGTTGTTCTGTTGAATATCTTTTCTATTTTGTACATACGATTTATATTATCCTAAGTTAGCAATTACTCTCATTTTATAATTTGCTAATTCACTTTTTATCAAACTTTTTAAATTTATTCGCAAAATGATTAAATAATTAATAGTGCTGCAAAGGAAAAATTAATTTACATAAATTTACATATTTGAAGTATATAGCAATTCCGTAAGACGCATCGATAGAAAAAAATATTTTGAAATCGATTCTACATATTCTACTTTTTTCGTTTTAACAATTTCGTATTATCGCGTGTAAAACAATTCCGCGGTACATCAAAGCCCCGTAATACCATATAATGACCAGCGCATCAATTTAATTTCCTACTTATTGTATTGCACTACAATAAATTGTAATAAATATTAATTAAGCAATTGAACTATATTGAAGGTAATATTTCTATATAAATCGTATGTAATACATGTAAAAATTATTAATTTAAAATTGACAGCATGAACTTTTGAATTGAAGCTTATAATTAGTATTAGATTAAATCAAGATCGTGGCGAAGAAGTTAGAAATCTAATTGTAATCCAATGGGTGAATGGAACAAGGATAGGGCAAAATGTTTAAGAATAGTAATTTTTCTTTTGAGTCTGTGGTGTTGCTTATGTCTTCCTTATCTCTCTCCGCGGCATATCTATCTAACAATTTAGATATATTGGATAGACTGTGGGCGGGTAATCACAGGTTGCAGTGCTCCTGTAAGCTGCTGACGCACTAAATATCAACACATTCCGGAAATTTTAATAATTCGATAAGAAAACATTCTGCTAACGCTATTGATATTCAGCACGAGTCAGCTATCAATCAGCATTCGATCTTACGAAATTTTCTTTAACAGTTTTTATACGTCCTTGTGCATATTATCAACACTTTCCACGCTTTAAAATCCATTCTTTTGCGCCATTGGCATAAATCGCGTTCAATACTTTACCTAAAATGCTTTACGAGTTGCTTTGTGCATATCAGTGGATAGTAATAAATCAAACGCGATGACTACAATTATTTTCAGGATATAATTTATGTTCACATTTATTTGGTTGTAAATTTTCATTCAATCGATGACGAAAAGTTGATTAGAGGAGGCTTGTTTGTGTATTAGGTGCCGACTCTAAACACACGAAGCTTCGAATAAGCTTCAAATTTTTGTCATCTTTACGATATACAGTAGATTTATTTAAGGATTATCGAATGATCGTTTGTTTAAGGACTAACGAACGTTTTTTGCTACATGTTATGTAAAAAATGCAGCACTACCAATTTATGTATTTTTAGATGCAACGGGCGAGGTAAGTAATGCAATAGTATTTGTGTGAATAAATATGATGTCGTTATTCTTGACAAACGATTGAAGAAAAATCTTTTCATGATTGTTTATTGCCGGTACATAGAATCGCTTCTATCCTTTTCTCGCCCTATCTCTCTCTCCCCCTCTCGCTCTCGCTTTCCCTCCGACTCCCTTTTATGTAGATGCTACTGTATGTATTGGACAAGAAATAAATAAATAAATAGATAAATTGATAAATTAAGTATTTAATAATTTCAATTACGACTCTGTTTCATGCAAATGCTTTAATTAATCAGGCAATATTATGCAAATCTTTTTTCGCTAACGTGATTTATTCGTTCATTGTAAGGTTTTGGTGGGGACCGATCGTTCCGATTATGCAATGTAACATACACGTGAAAGTCGGTTTATTGTCCTTCGATAGATTGATTAATCCAGTCGATAAATTATTTAAAGAACGACGCGATGTGAAATAGATTTCTTGAAATTTGCAATGACTGTTTGCTGATTGGTTGTTGTATACGCGCTCATTTTAAATTTTTGCCATTAAAAAGACGAGATTGCATAAGATCAATCGATGCAAAAATATAGCTAAATAGCATAAAATTTAAAAAGGTTGAATTCTATTGTTACATGCAAATGAATGCTTTTACTATGATAAAGATAAGCATTCATATTAATAAATAATCATAGATTATAAATTATGTATTATTCATCGTTATTAATCAGTATCAACAGCAATGATCTCAGATACCACGCGCGTACGTAAATTTACGGTAAATATTCTTTTAACGCGTTTTAAATTAAAATCTTAAATTAAATAAATCGCCAATTATTTTATTTCATATAGAAAATTACGAGGTTTAAAATAATCGGCGCAACGATTCGACAATAAATACAAATATAAATAAATTATTAATATATTTTAGAAGCAATGAATTGTCAATGGTAGTGTTATTTTTAATTTCATCCATTAAAAAAAGTTGTTTTTTTTTTTGTTGTTGTCTTATTTTAACGATGCTTACAAAAATAAAAACAACAACAACAAAAATGTAAGCGAAAAGTTTACAATTGTTATAATAAATTTATTTAAAAATAAATTTGCCTTAACATACTCGAATACTTTAAATATCCTATAATTATAAATTTAATAATCCATAAATTCAACAAATCAAACCAAAAATGT